CAAAGCTCTTTAAGTTATTTCAGGTAATATACTGTTGTCAGAGAGAGACTAATGTACACGTAGCCTGACTGGTTAGATCACAAGGAGAATGATGTCTGTGTGTGTTGTATTTCACAACAAAAGGATAATGAGAGTGTGTGTCTGTGACAGTAGTGTGCAGACAGATGAAAGAGGGTTCAATAGATGTGAGAAATTATTTTTGCCACTTTATACTGCAGCCGTGAAGGGATCCTCGTGGGTTAGTACCACCACCACATTCCCTCCGCCCCATTAACATCCCATTCAACCATTTTAGTCACCATCATCATCTCATTACCCTTAAGAATTCACCCTTTGTGCCTTTTGACTTTAGATTTTGCTGCTCACTGAAATGCATATGTTTCTAACAGAATGCATCTTTCTCCCCGGTGTTTCCAGTTTTGTTTGCATGTGTGCAGTTGTAACACAACACACAAAGAGAAGACGCAGAACCATTTCAATTATTTTAGTCACTGTTCACCTGAGATACCTCTGGGTGTGTTCACATATCAAAGCCGCTCTGCAAAAAACAGTTTTTTTAATGTGTCTTCTTTCATCATTTGAGGAAAGTTGTGCAACAAAATGTAAATGTAAATTGGGGTCTATCTGGGTACAGGCAGGCTACTAGGTTGCTCATTAGTGATGCTTCACATCTCTCTGTAAAACTCTGTTTGCTTTTGAATCTCATTAATTCAGATTGTTTGACAGTTTGTTGACTGTCTAGATGGAAATATGGTTCACATTGCATGATATTCAAAGCAGGTGTTTGGATTTCAGTGAATCAATGACCCAGAAATACATGATTTAGATTTGCAGCAACAGTGTTTTAATGTTGTGTTTAGCCCTACTACTTTTGTCATAATGCCACTTTGACTTGTGCATATCTCTTTTAATTTTCCATGTGTTCTGTTCTGTCTTCGGCTGGAGTAAAAGAGTGGGGAAATGAATCATATATATACAACTACCCCTCATTTAGCATTATTGAATGTATTTCCCCAGTATTCATGTGGCAAATTCAGTCTTTTATTTTCATGGTGTTTCATCTCTTGCACAAAATAATTCGTCATACAAAATAAATGGCCTTGGCACATCAGCTCAAAGGTGGTACAAGATACACAGAACCAGTTTCAATCTGAAAAAATGGAACAAGCTTCGCCGCTGACTCACAAAATAAAGCACCTGCTGTGGGCGTTGGAAGTTATACATATCTGGAACTTTAGTCATATAAAGTCAATAGTCTCAGCAGGTAACTCACACTGCACTCTGTTTTATCAGTGAAGCCTGACAGTATTCAGATAATTCACTTACTAACAAAAATGTACACATACTGCATCACAAGTCCTGCATCCAACATGTTTTTTGAGTAAAGGTTAAGAACAATAAGCAGCTAAATGTACTTAAAGTACTAACTATGCAAATTGGTATAATGTGTGAGAAAATGTGTTATGTTCCACTTGTAAAACCGACACAACACATAGCTGTGTGAAGCCCATTGAAATTCACATGAAAGAGACAAAATGACTGGCCATAATGACAATAATTATACAAGACTTTCATCATTGTTTATGGCTCCCACGGGTTCCACAGCCAATCCAACACCAATTACCTCAATAAAATGTATTTTTATGTTTCCACGCTGTGAAACCCTTTTGTGCGTAAAACAGGCGTGTCAAGGCTGAAGGAATGTCACCAGTGTTAACTGATCTGCCTCCAGTAATTGTGTCATGTGAACAGATAAGATTCAGAGGGTGGGGGCTGAAACGCGGCACCTTTACCCTGCCACCTAAAAAGACCCACCCAAATGTCCTTTCCTGTGCTTTGGGTTGGTCGACTAACTGAAAAAGTTGAATGTTAGTATCAGTAGTAGTAAGTTCCTGCTCCTGTGAGCATCCGCCCTACTGCTCTGACCTTTGACCTCCTTTTCAGAACAGAAATTTAGGGACTGAAGCATCAGTACGTTTTTACTGTGAGTTTACCTAAGTTTTGCCAAATAAATACTGCAATAAGTCTCCCAGTACAGATGCTGACATGCTTCATGGAACATTGTGTTCAATCTCCAGTGATACGTTGATAGTTTTTCTGTAATGTTTCTATTACACTTCATGACAGCACTTCCCAGATGTATGGAAGGCCCATCACAGTACTTGTTGTTTCATGTGTTGAGATCACTCACTGACTTTAGTAAGGCAACAAGCGAGCTGAAGTTGGCAGGCAGGTATCTCTTTTATAGGGCGTCCTCTGAGACAAGTCAAAACTTGAACAATAGGACGTCGTTATGCATGTCAGCCAGGGAGGAATGCTGGAGATCCGTCGGTATTTAACCAGGCAATTACTCTCATATACGTCAGTTCTCCCATGTCTTCAGCAGCAAGCCTGCAATTTCCCAATTACTAACTATCGTTTGCCTGGAAGATGGTTGCGCACTTTTGTGTTGATCTCTGACCTCTTCAACCGCAGCCTATGGAAAAATAAATAATTAAAAACTGTGCCGAGATCTGTCGGTGCTGTGTGGGTGTTAAAATGGTTTGCATGTAAATAGCTGTGGCACATCAGGTTTCCTCTTTTCACCTTTGTCATTAAAGTTTAGGGGGTTAATAGGCAGAGATGTTAAAAGGTGTGGGTGCTTAAACGGCATTGAGGGGGAGATTAGTAGGTAATTAATCTCATGAATAACATATTAGATGTGGTGTTTCCTCCATTGTGGCTCCCTCAGAGATCCTGGGGGGGAAATGAGGGTGATTTTAATTTCCTGTTATTTCACTTTCTAGATCAGTAGGAAAAAGTACAAGATGGAGTGTTTCATCCTACTGTTGTCTCCCGTCCTCACGGAGAAACTGTACACTAAACCTTAATGGGTTAAATACTTGATTGCGTTTTTGAAAATCTGTCTATCTAATTCCTGTTGAAAGGGAATAATAGAGCACGGCTTGTGACTGTCACAGCAGGCTTACCTTTAAATCCACTCATCTAATGTCACATTGCATGAAGTTATAACTCTAGCCACAACAAGGATGTAACGTAATATACAAGAATCCCTGAATTGTTTTTGTTATAATCTGACATACATGACTACGTGCTTGGTTTGCATTTTGTCTGCTTAGAGAACGGCCCTTTTGTGAAATCCTCTCTTTAGAAACTGTTTGGTTGAGCAGGCTTGTCTGCACACAACGAAACTTGAGCCGGAAGGCAGTGCAGCACAGCAGGTTCCTAAAAAACTACTTCTGGTAAAACAGGGAGGAGAGGGAAGCTGACTCAATGAACTGTCAGTAAACAGTTCACTCCTCTATAGAAATGTGACCGATCAATTGCGCAGGACATTGAGGCCAGTAAATACACCAATAAACTAATAAATACTAGCATGAGAAAGTGACTCATTCTCTTATGTTTTTGGTGTAATTACAATTATGTCTCAACAAGTCTCATGTGAAATGATCTGCTGTGATCCATCCAAATGTTTCCAATGCAGTTTAACTTCTTTACAAGACCTGTCATGAGAGGAGTAATAATCATATTCACACAACATAACATAACATGTTTCTTTTATGCAATGAACTCATGTTTGAGGCGGATTATTACACTGCATTTCAATATAACCGCTGTACCGACTCTCAAACTTCACATGAGTATTTACACTACATTTAATGATAATAATATGGTTCACTATATTTCAGATGCCTATTGCACTTTTTACTCAACTACATGTTACTTTATAGATTAAGATTTTTCTTACAAAAGATTTTTTTTACAAAAATTGAAAAAATGTTTGGGGCGCTTGGTGGACTCAAATAGATTTGTTTGAGGTGGTCTTTGGATAAAGATACATGTAAACACAAAAATCACAAGAAAACCCCAAGGCACTCTCTTTGTAAACTATTAAAATGCTTTTGTTGAAATGTAATGTCAGACCTAAGAGCAAACTCTGACACGCTTTGGCATCGAACCTTCGTCAGGGAGCCACAGTTTGCGGGTGAGCTTTCTTTTAGGTCTAACATGACATTACAATAAAGACATTTTAAGTGTTTAAAAACAGAGGTTCATGGAGTTTTCTTATCATACATTGTTATTGTTTATTAAACCACTAAAATTAGCTCCAACTTGACTAACTACAACATTAAATTGCTGATCACCACTTTCTTATATGACATCCTTTATAAGCAGTATCTAATGGTTTTATTAATGTTCATGAAATAATTTATTTAGATGATTATAAAATAATCACAGCCCAAAATAGACTATTTTGCTTTTTCCAGGTTGTAAAACAATCCATTTGGTGGGTGAATAGTCCTTTGTAAGGACCCCCACAGTATTTTTTATTTAACTAAATCCAAATTACCAACCAGACAAAGCAGGCTACTGCCCTGGGGCCCCAGACCCCCGAGGGGCCCGCAAAACCAAAAAGTAGGCCTTCAACTAAGAAGGGTCTTGCATTATTAAGCTACCTAATCATGTGAACCCGTCTTGAGGGGTCCTGTGTCATTAGACCCTTTTTTCCTTTAGCTCAAACTAACTCACAAATGGAACTCATAAACGTGTTGTACTGGTCCAGTATAGTAGCCCCTGGCTGTTTAAAGGTTCTCTGTGTGAACTGTATTTAGGCAGTATTTGTGGCAGTGTGCATACACACAACACGCTAAACGATCAATAGGTTCACGATACATTTTCTAAAATGAATCTGGCAACATTATACAAAGTAGAATAATACTTTGGAAATGTAAAAATAAATGCATGTGTGTGTTGATTTAATAGGCTGCAAATTTTACTTAATACAATTATCTAAATGATTCTTGCTGGTCTGCCTTAATGGTAGTATAATAATGTCATTTATTGTGTTTAATCCCTACTTTCGGAGCCCGACAAAGCCCCCGCGAGAGACCGCACAACCCCCATGCAGCTTCCTCGATCACCACCAGACGACTTCCTCTTTCCCTCCCCCCACTCTTTGAAGCGAAGCCCCGCCTGTGACCAGGTTACGGGGCGGGGCCTGGTTGTGCGGAGCCGGGAGGCAGGCAGAGCTCGCCACAGCTGTGCTTCGCCCTTTGTCGGTCTCTGCTCCTCGCCTGCGCCTTTTCTATCCGGTAGAAGGATACAAAGAGAGGGGCGACAGACAGCATGAAATAGAGACCGAGCATGAGAGCGGCGGGGGCAGCAGAGGGACACGAGAAAACCTAACCGGACTAAAGTCTAGTCCAGACACGGATACTAATATCTCCAGACTGGATACGGAGCTCCGCCGATGTACGCACTGGATACCTACCAAAGAGTGTCGAGACCAGGGGGAGAGGGGCGGACTTTATCGCGCAGGTAGGGGTGTTTTTTTGTCGTCTCGTTGTATCAAGAAAGAAATGTAGCGAGGGTCTTTTTTTCCCCCCCCGAAACCGGCTCCGTGGAAAGCTCGCACTGCTACAAATCACCCTGCCTGCCTACTGCAGTGCTACTCCGGTTGGTTTTTAAAGCGTTTCAACTCCGCAGCCTGCACCGCACCGGGTCTGCTGCAAGAAACGTTTGTTAACGAGATGAGAGCTGTTGTAGCGAGGCGGGCGAAATTACAGCTCCGCGGAGCTCTCCCCGTGTTTCTTTTGTCGCTGCTCCGCCGCAGTGCCTTGTGTGTGTGTTTTTTAACGTGTCGACAGTAGCCTACGTGCAAACTTGCTCGCGTAACGATGTGAAAGCGGCACGTAGACGGCCGCGTATCGGACTCCCGTGATCAAAATATATAGTCCCGGGAGAGAGGGGTTCTGTTACAGTGATGATTTTATCGCTCCTGCTCGGGGACGCAGCTGTAATTGCGCGCATGACGCTAGCCCAAAGACGCACAAGAGTAAAAAAGCGAAATACGGTCCGATTATATATTCTAATTTTTTATAAAAAAAATTTAATCTGAAACTGGTGACTCTGTTAAAGTCTACAGCAGGATTAGGCAGGCTCATATTTTTTTTCCGCTTCAATAGCTGGATGCAAGCAGCTGAACCCGTCTCCTTTCCAAACGAGATTCATTATCGGCCTAACGAGCTGTAACAATCATTTATGTGTTTATAATAGTCTGTTTCAGCTGATCGTTATTGCAGCTCTTGCTGTGTTATTCATGTTAGGGCCTATTTGTGTTTAATTATTCCTGCAGGGTCATTATGAGATCAGACCAGTCTGTAGTTTTTTTTTTTTTTTTTTTTTGTCAGAGATGTTAAACAGGTTTCGTTTCAGCAGATGAAACGAAGGTTTCCTTCCCATGAAAGGAAAGATGACTTTCCACAGTTCTTTTTACAGCATAATAGCTCGTCCAACCTATTACTCATATGGCTTTATGGGTGACGGGGTGACTTCACCTTTTAAACTAAGATTATACGTGTTATCTTTGATGACTACATCTTTCTTTTTTCCCTTTCTTTCTCCCAGGACTGTCGGGGTTTTAGGAGGGCATCGTGGATAAAACTTTGCACATTCTCCAGAAATCCACAGACGGTGTACCGACTGGGATCTCCCTGGATATGAGTTTAAATATGGACGAAGGGGAAGACTTCACGGAACAGCGGATAGTGGGTCTCCCGGACAAAATACCTCTGGTGAAACCTTTTTTCAAAAAGAAGCAGAGGAAATTGGATGCCAAATGCCTCCACCGTGCCCTGGGGGACCCCATACTGACCACTTTACTGAGCACGGATGCACTGGTCTCCGGGGATGGGGTGTTTGTTCCCCGGAGCCAGCCGGGCAGGACTCCGGGCAACCTGTGCGCGGCGGTCGTGGTGAAACAGAACTGTATGGGCCAAGTGTGTCTCAAAGACCCGGGAGCCGCTGGAGACACCGCGGCTGGGGCCGGAGTACCGGGGCTGTTGACCCGAGACGGTGATGTGGAAATAGCCGATACTACTGCGGAGCTGGAGGAGACCGAGCGGCGAGGGGAGCGACCCAAGATCGCGGATCCTACTAGCCCTGACAGCCGCTGCTTTCAGCCGAAACCTGGCTTCAGGGCGGCCGGCAGCACGGTGACAATAACGGCCCCCGGCAGAGATATACCTCCCACAGTTGCACCCCAGGCTCTCCACCAGGAGGGGAGCATCAAAAGCAATGACCTCTTAACCTCTGGGTCTAAAAACCCTCCAGTGAAAGACTGCACCGGTGTCCCGGGCCCCCTTCCCCTCCTCCTGCAGCCCGACAAAAGAGTGCTATTTCAGGATAAAAGTGAAGAGGCCTCCTTGGACTTGGTTTTTGAGCTTCTCACACAGCTCCAGTATCACACACACCAGTCGGACTCAGTGGACATTTGCGTGGATTTCCTCCAAGGACTGTGTGTGTACGGCAATGACTGTGCCCACCACCACACTGTCCTACCCTACTACTGGCAGATCCGCAGGAGCAGTACTCAGACGTGGCAGAGCATAGCGGACGACTCCCAGGAACAGCTGGAGAGACTGTACTGCAACCCGGACAATGAGCAAGTCAGGCTCAAGTTTCAGTAAGTATCCCTCTCTATAGGGTTTGAGCGGTATTATCCGTTATCGTGTACACTGTATGCCCTCCAGTTAGATACAGGATCTTACTGGGCAGGGAAGCAGTAACAGAGCATTTCTGTTTTAGATCTGTACCTGTGGGCAACATGGGGGTCAATTCACTTTCAATTCAAAAGAGGAACTGAAAACATTTTTCATGTGCTTATGGTAAGAGATCAGTTTCCAACATTTCTGTTTATTCTAGACAACAAGACTTAAATGTAATTTATAATACTTTTGAAATAAAGATTCCAAAATAGACCTTTTAATACCCCGATAGCAGTACACAAAAGCCCGTACTTGCTGGATCGATACAGTACATTGCACCCACGCCAGTATATTGTAGTGTCCTAAGTACTGCTGAAAAGGAGTCCATTGATTAGTTACATTGTCGCCATGTCACAAGTACCTATGAATTAACAAACATTAGACTCTTGTGACATGGCAACAATGGCGCAGTAAGCCGATAGGCTGCTTGTGAATGATAAGCACCTCTAGTTCTCCGTGTTGGAAACAGTAGACCTCGGCCTGAGCTTCCTCTTTGGTTTCACCAACAGTGACAAACTGAAAGCTTTTGACTCCACAGCTGTTCTGTGCATGTGTGGCTCATGGACCGCAGCCAAGTGAATGTGCCTGTTATTTTCACAGTTCCTACAGCCATCAATGTGGTTTATTACTGCCTGTGTGAAAGCCTGTGCGTCAGTCCTTTTTTTTTTTTTAATCTCCTGCATGGGTGTGTTTTGGCCTTCACATGTCTTCTCGTTAATGTATACCTGACACGCATCTTTATTTGAACTATGATATCAGCTATTGTGCCCCCGTGTACTCCATATCCCAGCTCTGGTATTGGTTATCTATTTC